TCGTGTGTTGTTGTTGTTGTTGTAGTGGGTGCCACTCCTGAAAGTGACGCAGACGAATTGTTGCGCACTGCTGCTGCAAGTAGCTCGTCTGTTAGTTTTTGCTATGCGTTTCCGCTGAGACTTGGCTTTTGGCTTTGGGATTTGTTTTTTTTTTTGCGGAGAGTTTTTAGATTTTTGTTTTATTTCAATGCATTTGACAGCTTTACGCTCAATTTTCAAACCCATAAATTTCGGAGCTAAACAAACAGTAAACTTCGTTTTATGTATGACTTTTCACTTTGTGTCGGCTACTTTGGCCAAATAACACGCATAATGCAATTGCTTGGAGTAGAGCGTCGAAAAAGGATTTCTCAATTTCAGACTCTGACTGAAATGGTTAAGGGCTCAACTCCCTGGCGAGACATGTTAAGAGCAAAGTTTACATAGACGGATATTAAATGTCTAATGCTAGCAAATCCTACACAAATCTTCGAGAAGCTCTTGCCAAGTTGGAAATGTCCATTTAGCAATTGTTTTGTGCACTCAAAGTAGAGCTGTGCGGAGCGTGGGTAGACAGTCAGTCGGTTTAAGGTATAATCACTTATGTGCACACACAATGTGCTCAGCTGTTGCGCAGTCATTACTCATACGCCCCGTATTGCCCAAGCAGGCAGAGCGCAGTCAAGACGTCGTTGACGTTGACGACACTTGGGCCAAGTCATTTGCAATTGTTGCGCTAATGATTTACAAATTGCACACGGTGCCAGGTGGCACGTGGTAACTCACAGGCGACGGTGGGTGGCGGTGGGGGTGGGGGTGAGAGTAGGAGTCGGCTTTTTAGCAGCACAATTAAGTTTTAATAATGCCAACTCAACAATAACTCAATAAAGTCAACAAAGCGGTCAGCGCAAAGAGCAACGCGGCAGGCAAAATGACTGATAGATAAATTTAAATTGCTTCCTAATCAGAATTCAAGGTTATTTTGCCATATGAGTGAAATTAATACGACGTTGGCTTATGAATCAAGTGCCAAAGGCATCGCCGAAGCTGTTTGCCAATCTGTGGTTGTGTGCGTGTGTGTGTGTGTGAGTGTGTTTGCCAAGTGAATGTTGTTTCAAGGTTGCTGCACACACTCACACACACACACTCGCGCATACACATTGGCACTTGAATTGTACAATTTTTAATTAAATTTTGCTATATTTTTCGTTCGTTCCGGTTAAAAATAAATGCACATAGTAAAGCCAAATTTGAGGTACACGCTGTAAAATCCATTTAGCAGTAAGAGATACGAATACTGCCACCTACTGAGTGTGCGACAGAGAGGTAGAACGCGAGAGCGAGCGAGAGGGAGAAAGAGAATGGCACAGAGACAGATAGGTAACATGTGACAATGGCCGTGTACACCGAAAATCATAAATATAAATTTAAGCTTATTTAGAAATGTAACAAAAATGAAAACAAACAAACTAACAGCAATAATGTGGATAGGCACAAGCGGCTTGTCTAAATATAAATTTGTTGGTGGATCACAAAATACCCTGTAAAGGGCATTGTAAAGGGCTGTCTATGCTCGTATAGATATTGTTCACTATGTAATATTAAGATATATCTTTTAAATTTCAATTTGTGTTTCGTTAAACATTTTTCAAATAAGTACAAAATAATAAAATCAAATGAATAGTTCAAAAGCGCGAAACTTTCAGGTACTTTCAAAGCTTTTAACACATTGCTGTGAAAACTGACAGTGATATATTGTGTGAGAAAACTTATAAAATCAATCACATTGGCCAATTGCTGTATAGAGTCGTAGCTACATCAATCTGTCAAAAGTAATGCAGCAATTGCACAAATGGTGGGCCGCATGCTATGCGCTTTTTGCTTTGTCGAAAAAGGCAAATGCAGCTAAGCTGCCAGCACATGCCAGCACACACACACACACACACACACACACACGCACTCAAACTAACAAACACACTCTCACAAACACACTCACAGATACATAGCTGAAGCGACACGTGTGCCGCGCCATGTTGGCTGGCAGCGACGACTGCATTTGGCATTTAGTAGTCACAGCCGCTGCCTGAACTTTTTGTTGGTTTTGTTGTTTTGTTGCTTTGCAACTGTCAGCATTGCAAAAGCTAAACCGCAATAGCATACCCTGCCCTTCTATTCGACTGCCATTAGGCTAAGCCTCAGCCCCGCCCCACCTGGTTGCCCCCGAGCTCTACAAGCAGCAAGCCCCTTCGCGGCATTGCACCAATGTCAGTGCATTGCACACGCCGCGCTGTCTGCGTTGTTTTGCACTATAATTTGCGTTTGCTTTTGTTTGCTTTGGCTGCTGCTATTGATGTTATAAAACAAATTAGTTAGAAAACAAAACAAAAATAAAAGAGCCGCAAAAACATATAGCAAAATTCGCAAAGCTTATACATAGAACATGCAATTAGCCGGGTCTACACAACAAATAAAGTTGCACACAAAGGCAGCAGGCCAATTTTTATGCATTTCTGGCAGGAAATGTGCAACAACGTTTTCTTTAATTCAATTTAAGTACAAATTCGATGCCATTAGAGCTGTTGCTAATTGATATTCCATTTGTAAATGTCTGAGTGATTATATAATAATGCCGGCAATTTAGATATAGCTCTTTTACATTCACTTCGCTGCAATTATCCTGCCTTTTTGCATGGCTAACCTTTTTCATAGAGCCTTCAATCATGGGTACATTTGATCCCTAGGGCTGCTCAGTTGACCCCCAACCCACAAGTGCTCAGATAAAAGGCAATAGTGTGCAGGCAATTTACGAGCAGCACTTAAACAAAAGCCAATGTGCTTGCCCCGGTTGGCAATCGAGCGGTGCGCCAGCCTTGTAATCGCAGCCTTGATTAAAAGGCAAGAGTCCGTGAGTGTGGATGTGGCTGTAGCTGTGGCAGTGGCAGTGGCTGCAGTTGTCACTGCTGTTATTGTTAAATGCACATAAATCTGCATTTAAAATCATTTTTACCACAACTGCACACAAAACAAAAGCCATCATGGCGTATGAGTAATTTACAAACGGTCGCCGCTCGGTTGAGTAATGAAGGTTAATCATGCGCCATGTTGCGCCAAACACTTTGTGGCTGCTCAGCTGCAGGCAGACAAAGCACCGACGCGTTTAACACACGCGCATGGTGCGTATGAGTAATGCACGTTACGTATACGACACGTGGCCATGGCTGTCAAGCGTTTAGAGCAACTGCTCATTGCCTGTGACTGCTCTTCCCTTGCCCGACAGCGGCAATAATTGCGCACAATTATCCATTAATTGCATTCATTGCATTTTACACAAAAACTGCCGCTCAATGCCAGCGCTGAGATCATTTTGCGTAGCGCACATTTATCCATTCAAGCAACCATCCATCTATCTATCCACTTATCTATTCACATATCTGTGGCAGCTTGTCTGCTTTGTGTTTGCTTTTGCCACACAAGATTATGCGGAAATGTTGCAAATGTCTTTCAAATAGGCCGCCAAGCAATTGGGCGCAAATCAATTTGGAATTGTTGCCCTACCACCCCTCTACAGTAGCACACAGCTGCGCCCACAGCTGGGCGTGCCAGCTGCCAGTCTGACATATATAGATTCGAACGACAACCGGAAACATGACATTTTCGGCAACATTTTTAATTTTGTTTATATTGCTGTGGCCGGCTTGTGCAACAGGTAATCAGCCGGACAAAGCACAAAGTGAAAGTCTAGCCAAAGGGAAAGGAGTCGAGCTGAAGTTGTCGGATTAAAAGAAATAAAAATTATTTTAATCACAATGACACTAGCTGCTAGTGGCACTGACATACAGGAAATACATGATGTCTGGTATTAAATTCAGTTTTACCCATTGCAAAATAGTTAATGATTGTACACTTAAAGCACATATTCAATTATCTGTTGATATTTGGGATTCATTATGGCAAACCTTTAGCCGCCTGGCGAGCAGTCTTATCGCCGTGCCCAATACTTAATCGTTCTCTACACGAGCAGCCCTCAAAAAAAGAAAAACAAACAAAAGTATGCTTATAAAGGGGTGACGCGGGTGCCATTTGCGTTAATGTAAATAAAATCTTATCACATATTCAAGGTTAACAAAGGCTCGACAAAATGCCGATGCTCACTTTTGATATGTATCCCATCTGCAGTTGTTGTTTGCTTTTGGCCTTGTGTGTGTGTATGTGAGTGTTGAGAGCCCTTAAAACAACAGTCACACATACACATACAAACTGAAAACTGATCTGAGAGTACGCAAAAAAAAAATTTATGTGTATCAACTAGACTAACTAGGGCATTCAATTTGAGCGCAAGCAAATTGCAAAGTATAGTCAAAAAAGGAGGCAGAAGAGCGCTGGGTAGTAGTAGCTAAAAGTTGCGTAAGCTTCTTAACTTTTGTGTTAGAGTCCACTTTCTGCTTTTCAAGCATAACTAAGAAAGTCGCGAACTATATTTACTACAACTGGAAAATAGAGCGAGCGAGAGCAAAGAAGAGAGCGAACTATATGAAAGGGCAGAACTTTTGCTCATTGATTTTTGTTATGTGTGCTTGTGTATATATATATAAATATATATTAATATATATATGTGTGTATGTATATCTCGTTGCCGTGCAGTTAACGAGCTGTTGATGTTGCCCTTTGATTGATGGGTTCTTATTATGGGCTCGTTTTCGGCATTTATTTAATTTCCTGACTTTTCACAATTCGCGCCGCTGCCGCCACATCTTTCGTATGAGTAATGAATCAAGATGGGAATCAAGCATACGCCGTGTGTTGCATATATGCTGTTGCTTTTGCTGCCGTTTGCCAAAAATTATGCACAGGCATTTACATAAATATAATTATAGCAATTAAAATCGGTATACAAAGTTGCAATTAAAATGCAACAAATTTTGTGGCGTTGCGCTCTGTTTGGCAGACTGACCGCATTCCTTTGATCTTATCTATGTCTCTCTCTCTCTCTAAATTAATGGATGTGTGAGTGTGTGACCTACCTTCTTCTTGCGCTCCTCCTTGAAGTCGATGACAATACCCTCATCTGATGTGGATACCGAGGTTGTGCGTATGCGTGCATTCGCCGATGCACTGGCCGCACATTGCGGCGACAAAATTATGTGACCGTGCAGCACATTTCCATCATCGCTCAGCGGCGGCGAGGCCGAGCCAGAGCTCCAAGAGGCTGACGAGCTGCTGCCTGGACTGGAGCCCAACCATTTGTCTGAAACTGTGATAAAACAAAGCAACAAAAACCCATGAAATTTGCAATAAGAATAATGCATAAATTCGTGCGACCTACCGGCATGCGGCGAGTTGTGTAGATTCATTAAAATTAATGCAGCATTGCATTCATTCATATCGTCCACTTTGCATTGATCGCTGCTGCAATCATAAGAGTCGCTTGGCGGACGCTTCCGTGAGCTGCAAGAGAGAAAGAGCAAGGTAGGGATTAGATTAAACGATATTGTGCGAAAATTATTCTAAAAATTATCTTTGTTTTTCATAACTAATAAACCCATTTAACGATCCCCAAAAATCTTAAAGTTCACTAAAAGCCGCCGTTGTAATCTGAAAGGTAAGTAAAGCTGATTTTAACAGTTGAAATTCTTTGTAGGAATGTAAAAGCGATTTATCATTTGGATAAGCCTATATCTTTCAACTTGTGTCATTGAGGAAAAACTATAACAATAATTTTTAATTGCAGCCAAAAACTTTGAAAACTTTAAAAACTTGTTTATTTATTTATATTTCTAGCAGTACAAATTGAAAAATTTAAAACTCGATTAACTGAAATTTGTCTCACTTGACTGTAATCAAGCTGTCACTTTCAACTAGTGTCATTGAGCAATAACGATTGTAAATATCTCAAATTTCGCAAATGTTTACAGATAAGCCCAATTTTCTTGTTATACTACGCTTACAGATTGCATCACCCTGGCAGATATCTCTTCATCTTCATTAATGTGTTGGCAATTCCAAGAATTTAGAAGGCCAGCATTGGCCCAGTTGTTCTGAGGCTCGGCTTTAATTAGACGCCCTCGCATAAGCCTAAACTCTAAGCAACATCAAAGCAGCCGCAGCGCATTGTTGTTGTTTTTATCGTCGTTGTTGTTGTTGTTGTTGTTGTTGTTGTTGTTATTGTTGTTGTCGTCGTTGTAATTTGCAACAACCATGTGACGAGGTCTCTTTACGATAATCACCCCGTGAGGCATTTCAATGCAAAAAGCGGCGCAAAACTATTTTTAGCTAATTTTGTGGCCAGCGATTTTGAATGCCCCTGCATTGTTATTTATATTATTGTTGTAGTTGTTGTAGTTGTGGTTGTTCTTGTTGTTAATTTTGCACATTCGTCATTAATTGGCAGCTACTAGCGGCCGCTACGATAGCATCAAACAGAGAACATTCACAAATATTTTATGGCTAATTTGTTGCTGTGCAAATTTAACTGACCTTGCGCAAAATATATTTTTGGGAATTTTTTGCTAATTTTTCGCTTGTCACCAATTCCATTTTTTAAGAGGCGCTGACGTCAACTCTGAGTTTTGGCTTTAAGTTAACCTTGGGGCAACCTTGAAGGCTACAACAAAAACAACAAACAGCGAAAAGGAGCTGCAACAACAAAGAACTACAACAACAATGGTGCTGTTAAATCAGATATCCTTTGGCGTTAGCATTATGAACAGCATTTATACGCTTGAAAAACTTGGACAAAGGCAACTTTCGGCCAAGAATGCAGCCAAAATAGATACAGTCTAAAGAGGATTCAGGATAATAAAGACGCGACAGTCGCGGCGTGTCATAAATTCAAAACATTTCATACGGCAAAAAACTGATTTGAAGGACTCCTCGTAATCAAGCTGAGTGGAAGAAAAGCTGCGCTCCTTCTGCATTTGCTGCTTTTTCTACAGTGGCTGCTTTTTCTTTTCTACTGCTCCTGCTGCTGCCATGCCATCTCCTTATAAACAATTGAGACGTCGCCATTGTCATTGGCTGTGCCAAGTAGCCATTTGCCGGTTGCGTGCCAGGACTATTATTTGAATGACAGAATTTTCCATTGAATCCTGTGTTGAATTATGAGAACTGAATTGCTGATAAGCTGTGCCTGCTGCTGCCTCTGCTGCTGCTGCCTCTTTTGCTGCTGCTGCTGCTGTTGCTTGTGGGCAATTATTGATGATTTAACTTAAGCAGCTTAGTCTTATTGCCCGGCTGGCAAGCGAAGTCTTAGAATTGAGGCAGAATACCAAGAACATTGCAGCTCCATGCAACTATGTTCGGTTTTCTTTAAGCTCCTTGAAACCGTAAAACTATTTCAAGTAGATAACAAGAATTCAAGTATTTATCTTGAATCAATAACAGGATTTTTCTTCGAAAGAACTCTTAATTTTTTAAGCTGAAATAGTTATTCTTACGATAAGTAGATGCTCAGAAAAATATACATTATTAGTCAATCTGAAGGGTGCTCGGCTTGAGTAAGCTTTTAATTGGTTCATCTTTCGCTGCAGAGCTTTGAGAGAACTTTAAGCAGTGGGCGGGCAAAGAATTCAGCGTAAAGCGTGCTTCATTCTAGTTAGAAACATTTCAAAGCAGATGTGTCTAACAAAAGATTAGAGTGAGTTTTAAATTTTCTAATTATTTTCAGTTAGCGCTGCCCGTGTGCATTTTAGCCTTGCAGGTACGATCAAAACATTTTCTGGGCTTGCCACGTTCAACTAGTTTGTCAGACTTTGATCCTACAGTACTTTTCAAACAAACATTCAACTTTTGTTGCATACACATGCTACGTACATATGTCTATAAAAGCTGACATCATGCAGTTTATAGAGCGTTTCAGGAGTTTCTTTTTGTTAACATTTCTTATCGCTGGCATCAGCACTTCAGCTACATTTAAGCCGAAACGTGAAATTGCATTCTAGATGCTGCTGCTGCTGCTGATGCTGCGACTGCGACTACGACTGCTGCTGTCCGCAAACCCTTTCGCAAAACACATTTTGGTCCATTGTGCAAAATTCAGAGGCCGCAGGCAGCGACGACTGAGCTCAGCTGCTGCTGTTGCATTGAAGTGAATGCAGCTCCTTCTGAGAACAGCTGCCATAAAATTTTATTGCAGTGCTACCAGGTTTGGTTTTTAGCCTTTGTCTAATGCACGCGCTTTGTCTGCAGCCCCTGGATAGCCAGCATTCACTGTGTGTGTATGTGTGTGTGTGTAGGAGGGGCTGCTGAGGGGAGAGGCCAGAGCAGCAAGAGTTTGGCTTTTATCCATTTGGCACCTTCCGCTTCGTTGGCTACTTGCGCGGCCGCCTCATCTGCGCCCCAATTAAATTGACTAAACTTGACGATAAATTTTTGCCGCTCGTTGCTAATCGCATAAAAGTAAATTTGCGCATAAATCGACATTTGAAATCTCTGCATTAGACCGAGGGGTAGTCGGGCTGCGGAGCTGTTGGCAGCGGTTGGCAGCGGTCAGCGGCGCTGTTTTGCCGGCCGGCCTGGCTGCCGCATGAGGCGGCGCGTGCTGCGGCTGGGGGAAGATCAGGCAGGGGAGATCGGTTTTAGCCATCACGATGTGGCCATTTTGTGCGCACAATCGGTACCGTTAGGTTCAGCAACAACAATAAACAGGCCGTTGCTTTCTGCTCGATTGCGCAGCAACTTTAATAAACTGCAAGCTGCAGTTGTTGCAGCTGATGTTGTTTGTGTTGTTGTTGCTGTTGTTGTTTGGTGTTGGGTGTTTGTTGCTGTTTCTGTTGCTGTTTGAAAATTGGTGGCCGAGTCTCAAAGTCTCAGAGTTTCAGTCTCTCCCTGGCTGGTTCACTGCGTGGCCGCACGTAAATTGCGACTGGCGATGATCGGACAAGGCAAACAGGCCCAGGAGCTCGGGGATTGGCGCTGCTCTGGCGCGTGATTGAAATGCGATATATTCGCGCCGATTTCGGGGCCAGCGCTTGAGCGGAGCCTGGGAAATGCGCAGTGATTTTCACTTAGTTGTATTTGTTGTTGTTGTTGTTGTTGTTGTTGTTGCTGCTGCTGCTGTCGTTGTTGTTGGCCAGGCGATGCGCCTAAGCTATGCAACTTTGGCCCGTACTCTGTTCGCTGTTTTGTTGGCAATTATTTGCCCACGCCGCTGGTTGCAATCAGCAGGCGACGCTGCCAGCAACGTTGCATGCTGCATGCGGCACAGAAAAATAAAACAATAAAAAAAAAGGTGTTGAAAGCAAAATTACATTGCAATGTGCAGCGGCGGCTGTCGGAAATATGCGCGCTCCAGAGATGCGATATGATATGCCCAGCCGAGCGGAAGAGGGGGTGCGCTGGATATGGTGGGGATTGGATGTTAGGCCAGTGACTATTCGTTTGCATGCCGCATAGAAATTAGTTGCAACTGCAATTTATAGTCTCTTGTTGTAGCTGTCTGCTATTGTTGTTGCTATTGTAGCTGTTGTTGTTGTTGTTGTTGTTGTTGTGGATTGAGCTGCATTCGTTTTGGTTTGATTTGTGGTTGCGCTGAGCAACTGAAATGCAATTAAAGTCCACACCGAAATGAGTTTATTGAATTAGACACGTGCTCGAAAATTGGATCGGAAAATTGTTGGGGCCAGGACCAGGCATTAGACAATAGCACAGTGCGAATTGTTATTGCCTTTGTGTTGTTATTTGAACAACTTTCACCGAAAAACTTAAGCGCAATTTTCAACATCAAGAAGTTTGGCTAACAATATAAAAGTAAAAGCCAGCAGTAATTGAATAAAGAGCTAAATGAAAAACAACCCAAGATTTTGTTTTGTCGCGAACGCGAACGCTGTTGAGCCAAAAGGCTAGAGGCAATTTACAGTTCTATAGACGTATGTTCTGATCTAGAAAGAGAATCGCTATATATATATATATTTATAAGTATTTAGATTTAGATTTGACTAAATGCTCAATCACTTAGAGTTGCCGAACATGGGTTCAATGCTCCCATACGATAAGTCAGTTCGCTGCCAGCTTGGCTAACAAGTATTGCGTACTTTCATTGATTTGGCCTTATCAGAGAGCCCCGTTAATATCAGCAGCAAGATTTAAGACGCTTATCAGGTGTCGAAAGCCAAAGTCAGTGCCAGCAAAAGTGCAAATCTTGATAATGTATCGTATGTGGCACAAGTATACGACAAACAGAAATGTGTTTTTTACCTCAATGGCAGGGCAATTTCATTGAGGTCTTTTGTTATTTTGCAGCACGCTGCCACTTATCAGTTTGTACGATAAGAAATTTAAAGTCATTGTGAAATAACAACAAATGCAGCCCATATGAAAGCGGAAGTGTGGCCTAACCGGGCTAAATATTATGAATAAATAAGTATATTCAAAGCGCCAATGTTGCGTATGCGCAATATGCTAATTAACCAGCTCAACAATAAATAAAGTATGCCGTAGAGTTCCGGGCG